CTATGGACAGCGTAGAAATGTTAAAACATCTACTTTTTTTTTTTTATTAAAAAGCTTAATATTTTATTTTCTCTACTATACTAGACGTGTGTAAATTGTGTTTGATTGTTTCCAGCTAACAATCTATTACCTCGGGAACTATCGAGAATGTTCAGAAATGACTTGTCTAAAAATAAATTACCACCGGGTGTATATAGCTTACAATCAATAATAAGGTCTTGTTTGAGAATTTTTACTGTTCTATAAAGTATATTTCGTAACTGAGAAACACTGAAAAATAAACACAATTCGTTGCGTTAAAAATCTATAAAATATGTTACTAATATTATTTTATAATTATATTAAGGCGTTAGGTTTTTATTAATCTCAAAACCATAACGTTTTATATGATAATATTTAAAATTTAATGTAGTGCGTAGTAACAAGAATTATACTGTAAACGCATGCTACGAATAGAACAAATCTCAATCACGTTACATTCAAGTTTGATTTCCTTAAATGTGTTTTTTTTCTTTTACATATTCCAAAGGCATAAATCCGTCGTACGAGTCGGGATAATATAATATATTCACCGGTATGTACAATACAGAGTAATCAAGTATAATATATTTATTATGTATATTATACAAATTATGAATATTTCTAAACGGTTTTGTAATTTTCTAGAAGTGGTTTCTACCAATAAAACTACGTCTAAAATTTTATGGATGATATCCAAATTCGTTCATATCCGATAGTGAATAAATAGGTAGCAGCAACTTCAAATATGTTATTGTAGAGCTCAATAGATTTTACTAAAAGTAATAGAAAAAAAAAAAAATTATAAATATATAAACAATTCAAATATAATACATAAGTATGTATTTAAGTAGTTGTGCAACGCATCGCTACGTCATTTCGAATTTATTCCAATACACTTATATTCATATTTATCGTAAAAAAAATATACACGTTATATTTTCCAGAGTTTGTCAAACATCAAATTTGTTTTGATAACCTATAGGAGTAAATGACATGATGTCATACAGCAATGTTTACATATGAAGTTACATCAGTGCGCTCACACGTGCGATGCCGCGTGTATCCGCCTGTATTAACAATAATTTACCGAGAAAACGTACTGTAGCGGAGCTCATGATTTATAGATCGAATTTTATGTAAATTTCATTATATGACTGAAAATATATGCAAATATTTCCTGACGCAATCGTCAGTTCATATGTAGGTTGATTCTTGAAATAACGCATTGGAATAGAAATACGGGGAAAAAAAACATAAAATTGGATTTTATTATTAGAAAAGTACAACTATTTGTTCAAGACGGATATTTATTCACATTTGTACCTTTCAGTATGGTCGGTAAAACAAAATAATTTTTTACCGAAACGGAAGGTTATTTTAACCAATAAAGATGCTGTACAATTTTAATTATCTGGCCAATTTGAACAAGGACTATTCAAATATCCGGCAAGAAATCATGTAATATAGTTGAAGGGCTATGGGGAAAAACGATAATGGTATTGCAGTTGTCAAATTTCAGAATTCGAAAAACTAAGAAATAATTAAAAACACGTATATCGTGGTAGTATAACTGATTTTCGATAAATGAATAAAAATAAATAAATAAATAATTTACTGTTTAAAACAAAATTTGTTTAATGATTAGATGAAATATTTATTATATTTTTTCAGTTATTAATGTTCCATGATTTATGTACTTGAGTTTTCATGAATATATAATAATAAAATGAAAAAGTCAAATATGTAATAAATGATAACACAACAGAAGATTTCGGCGAACGTAAATTTGAAGCATTGAACTGTGTGGGGTGAGAACCTATGAAAAATTTGCGCAGTTCTAAAAACGGCCGAAACTTGTTCTAAAAACAAAACACAATGACTCGGTGTTTCGAATGTTGTTTCGCTGCAGGAGTAGTGCACCGGTAGGACGTACCGGTGATCCTTGAAACGCATTCGCGTACGCATATTTCACGGGGGAGGGGGAGATTTTAACATTTCGTAAGATCGAACCCACAAGTAGAGAATACGTTGTCCGCGTTTTGAGATCCCTATCGTAGCGTCGGAATTTCCGAATCGAAATCCTCGGCTCGTCGATGATTGATCTCGCGAACATATCAATAGGTGTTCGCCCGGTGCACAGCTGTCACCGGGTCTCGTCCGACCGCAAATTGCACGCGATGTGGGAATTGCGGTCTCGACGAATCCCAGTGCGGTCGCGGTCTCGCACCAGTTGTTTTTTACGCGTGCACGCAACGTGTCCGCTGTCATTCGTCCCTCGATCGGATGCTAATCGATTGCGTTGATCGCGTGTCCGTCCGAATGTGTCGCGCGGTCGGAGCGGTCGTTTCGCGGTGGCCACGTGTGCCGATACAACGCTAAAACCGCACCGGGTACTCCTCCGCACCGCGATTTCGATTTCTTGCGGGTCCGTCACCATTCACCGCTGCTCGCGACCTCCCGAAGCGGATCCGCCGAGTTGTTTTCTCGCCAACGCCTCGTCCGTCTCCACACATTTCGGGGTCGCATAATTCATACGGATTTATTTCAGTTCGCAAACCAGTAACGATAAAATCGATCCCCATTGGATTCTCGGTGGACAACTGAAATATTCGGAGAGGCCGATGGACAACCTCACACTGATTTATAGTTGTTGCGACATTGGTGATTTTTCATTTTAGGATTGCAAAAGCGCCGAACAGAAAACTGCGAGGCAACGGTTCCGGTGAGTACACTGTAAGTTCGCGCGACGTGAGCCGTTCGACGCCCGCGATGGGTGGATCCGCCGAAGAGCTCCAAGTATAATAGTTCAACACTCCCGACGGTAAACATACGGTATAACGTCCACACATCAGACGTGAATCCCCGTCATGTGCTCGGTCGTTGGTTTCGCGGCAGGAGATTCCTTCGATATGAAACCAAGGACGGGCGAGGAGAGGCAGCAGGGCGACAGGTTGGCTCCGGCAAAGGCGTGTGTAAGAACGACAGCGTACACAGTACGTACCAACATTTGCATGGTGAGAACATTTTAATTGAACGGCACGAGTTTAAATAATTATATTTTTTATTTTTTGTCGCAATATCAGAATTTTTGGTTTTTTTTTTTTTTTATTGAAGGCGGCCATTTAATTTGATCATCGTGTTTCATCGGAACACTTTGATAACATTAAAAGTCCAAACCGAGAACCAACCGGTCCGAAGGAAATCGAGGTGCGTACTTTCTAGCGTGTTCCGAGGAACAACTCGAGCGGAGAACGGGTCCCGGAGGTTCATCATCGTTTCGTCTGCGCGCGTACCGTCGACGAACTTTTTGTCAGAACGTTTCGCGAGGTGCGATAAACGTGCGCTCGTCGAAAAACGGTTTCAATCGTGGCGTATAACCCGTTCAGGAGTGAAACGTTCTGATGAGCCGCCGCGTGACACCGTTTTTTTTGTGCGCGGTGCAGATGATTTGTCGCGTTGTTATCCGATCCCATAGGCGTCCCCAGAAATTTTTTAAGGGAGAGGGGCAAAATTAATTTAAAAAAAATTTAAGATTATTTTATACCTCATTTTATTTACACATTATTCTCTTTCCTCGAACATGAGATATACTATATGATAAAATAATCCAATTATTATAAAAGATAGTTTTGTTCTATATGTAATATATATATATATATGTTATATTAATGTGATCTATGTTTGCCACTTGGCGCGTTACAGATAATGCTTTGGAAAAAAAATTTAAAATTCTAAGGGAGGGAAAGTGCTCCGTCTTTTTCACCACCCCCGGGGACGCTCATGTTCGGCCCTTCGCGCGCGCACATTGAATCGGATTCCGTTCGAAACGTCTACGATCTGGACACGTTATGGGCGAATGGGAGAATTCACACAGTTTTTCCGTGGTTAATGTGCTGTACGAAGTGCGACATCGTTATTAATACCACGGACACGCAGTATTGTACCGCGTTAATTTGATTTGTCGACAAAATGTTTACTAAACAAACACATATTGGTTGTGCTGGTGCTGTTCCGTCGTTGTTTACTATTGCCATGATATAGCGGGGACGGATATGGGGATGGTTACTATAATGTTTGTTCTTGTACCTTTAAAATCGATAGCCAGTTGAAAAACTACGGGGTTGGAGTTACGAGGGAATTGCGATACGATGGATCCGGTACAATGTGACCGCGAGTTCCAGCACAGGTACTATGTTACGTCCAGTGTCCGGTGTGGTCCCCTCGAACATTTTTTTTTTTAAATACTTCACGAGACAATAGAATTTTAAATGTTTAGCACTTAATGCCTATTCTACTGTTCGAATACACCAAACATGATTTACTTCGGAGTATACGATAGTTGTCGATGGACTGCAAAACGCATGACATACGTTTAAATACAAATCACGTTTACTTTTGGTAGTTGCCAAATGGTAAAATGCTATTGATTAAGACAGGGTAAGAGAAGATGTGGAAAAAGTGAGACCAGGAGAAGACTGAAAAATAATATCATTAGCTAAGGAAAGCTGGAGGCAATTAAGTTGGACGATAAAGTCTTGAAGGCCGAATATCACCAAGAAGAAGAAATGCTATTGATTATTACACTTTACAACACTACACATTTCAAATTACAAAATATATTCCTCTTTTTTTTTTTTTTTTTTTTGTGTCAACTGTCTATATGTAAGTTGCTACGATTTCACAGTGAATATTCAAACTGTTAAACAATAAGTTCTGATAAACCTTATATATTAATTTGATAGCAGCTCAACGTTTTAAATTCAAAATTAAATAAGACGTGTATCCAATGATTATTGCATTAAATTTCCACAAATCCAGACCATAAATATACTTATTTTGTACTTCGCACCAAGTTCTAAATAACGATTTAAATAAAACTGATTAAAATAATTAATTAAAGTGTTTTATCAAATATAACGCAAGTCATGCGTTATACGAATCTATCAGTGCGAGCAAAAAGAATTAAGTTTGACATTTACCTCCGGGATGTGCCACATTTTTTTATATCTCTGTTACACAGCGAGTACGATTGTTCATATCCTTCAACGTGTTGCGCCAACAGTTTCGGAAATAGAATATGTTTTTCATACCTTAAAACAAAACGGTGTCTACATTAATTATAAGTTGTAAACATATTACACTGGTTATAAATTACTACAATATAGCGGTTAATAATTAACAATTATATTGCAGTATATTTATAACCAAAAATACACAACAATTATTGTTGTGTATATTTCAAATAAAACGGAATGCACGATCAAGAAACAGCATTCAGGTCGTATAGAACAATAAAGCAACAATAATGTAATGAACATTTCCGATGAATGATTGTAACGTCACGTGTTTGTGTAAAATATTGGCGTTTGGTAAATACTAATAAAATATTGATAGTTGAATAAATTATGGTTCAGGATGACTAAACAGGCATGTGTAAAATGCTCGCAGTAGATTAACTCAATCAATTTCAGATGATTGGATTTTTATTGGATCCAAATAAACACAATTTAATAGGTGCCGTATTAAGCCAAGCTATAGGGAATTTGTCCACACTAAAAAAAGTTTAAATTGGTTTTGATCGTTATTCGCCTCCACATTACACGACTATCTAGCATCTTGTCCATAAACGCTAAAATAAATAAAAAGTTACGCTTCAAGTTAATGTTTAATGTTCAAACAAGTGTGTTGTGAAACTTAACAAATTCGTGTATTACATTTTAACATTTAAAATGGTACGTTGTACCTAGCTTTACATTTATGTATTAAATATCAAATTTGTATTTATATTCGATATTAAGTAATACTAAGTAGTAATAATTTATAAGTACGATGAGTTATTTGTTTATTAATGCATTCGGACCTAAGACCTTTTACATATAATCGTATGTAATTATTGAATATGGTGATTAAAAGAATAACAAAAATTAATCACATTGTTATACGTATAAAAACAGGCAAAGATTTACAAAAAAATTAATATAAAAGAAAAATAATAAATATAATGACATAATAAACATTTTTAGAAAAAAAGGAAGAATAGTTAAAGAAAAAACTAAAAATATTGGAATTATCTATAAACATTGAAAAAAAGATTAGCAAGGCTATCGGTTATCAAACTATGCTCAACGGAGCCCTAGGGTTCCATAGCTTTGTGAGCACATCTGAATTAATTAAATTCCAATAATATTATATTATATAGTTAATGAAGAAAAACATTGCGCAACTAACCGGTGCATTATTATTGATAGCAGCTATTTTTATGATAACATTCATCTAATAAGTAATAGTTCTAATCGCCTGCGATTTATTTACATGTTACTAGTTAAGTTTCCTGAAGTGTCTTCAGCCATCTAAATTTTAATTTCCATACTTTCTTGAGTATATTAATGAGAACATTATACTTTCCTAATTTATGATTTGTTTAACTATGCAAAGGAGCTTATTTTTATTTTATTATATTGTTATCTTTAAATAATATATTTATATTATATGAATTCAGTCATTTTAATTTTAATTTCCACACTTTCATTAGCATAGTATTTAAAAATGTATATTTACTTAATGGCTAATTATTATGATTTTATATTTTATACTGATAAGTTATTTGTTTAACTACGCAAAGGAGCTCATTTTTATTTTTTATTAAATTAGATTTATTTAATTACATTATGTTTATTATCTATTATACATATATATATATTTATTTTATTTATTCTTTGTATATAAATATAATTCAATATTGTCTTCCAATATTGAATTGTAATTTTCATCTTTCTTTAAAAACATTTTCAGATACTGGTATAATATTGTGTGTTTCACAATATTCACAATAAATTTTATAAATATATGCTTAACTTTTTTACTCACTAGGTATCGATGTATTTTTTTGATGAGAAATTTCTGAAATAATGTGATAGCTGATGAGTAATGGGACTACTGGCAACTTTTACCACTTAAATCAATATTTATAAATTATAATAACTATAAACTAATATGGTGTTAATTGTTAATTTATATAAATTAGTTTTTATTTATATTTAGCGCAATTAAAAATACAAAAAGTATTCCATAAAAAATAATACATAAAGCATTATATTTTTACTGAAATGAAACATAATTTTTATTTTTCACTCAAATTATATATTTCATAAAATTTTATAACCCTAGAAATAGGTATAAAGGCTTCGTGGACAAAAAAGTTCGAGAACCACTGTATTAAACATTTCATTTGTATTAGAAATGATATAGAATAAATCGTTATTTCTTGTATTGGAATTTTGTTTGTTTGTAGTTATAATTGTAATTTATAGTTCATCAATATTTAAAATATGTAAAATACTGTTAAATAATGAAATAAATTACGACAAACAGCATTCAATGAATGTTGCCAATTATTATGTCTATAGTTGATTTGCATTTAAAGTGCATTAATTATTTTGATTAACTTTAGATTTAATTGCTTTGTTGTATAGATAGTTATCCATTTTAATGTTTTCTAGATAACACGTTATATACATGATTATAGTCTGAAAATTAAAAAAAAAAAGTCAAACAGAATGTTTAAAATATACGAAAAACGAAAATGTTTTTTGTTCTTTGAACTTGCATATACATCAAATGCACGTTATTTCATGTAATTAATCAAATAATTAATTTTCTACGAAAAAGTTGGATTCATTTGAACGAAATATACGAGAGAACTTTTATTATTTTATCGAAACAACTTTATTCGTTTACTACCCGAGTGCATAGATAAACCTACGAATGTAACCTTAAATTAAAGCTCACATGTATCTAGCACTTTTTTTTTCTCCAAAAATCTTTTATAGTAAGCTGTGAAAAATATCAATTCTTGTTCTCATATCGCGTTGCATTTGTTGTGTAATATATCATAATATTCTGATACCTATCCATTTATCCGTGATTAAAACATCAAATAACAATGTAAGTCCTCATTTGCTCCCTTATAATACTTTTGTAAAATATTTATTACAAGCCCCTAATGGTTCATCTCACTGTAAGACAATTCTATTCTCATAAAAAGGAAAATGCTCCACTGGGACAAGTCGCTGATTAACTGTTCGGTGTCGTCAACAGGGATAGTTGTGTTATTCATAAATTTATAAGTGATTATTTTTGCGTTCTACTCAAAACAATCTTGAGCCAAGTCCATTTCACCGTAGTGTTTATGACATCCTTTAATTTAAGTGCACTTGTTAGTTTTGAAACAAAATCATAGCAGTTGCACGTTAAATAATCTCGAATTTCATATTTAAGTTATAATCAAAATACAATTAATGAGAATAACAATAACGTTAATGTATTTTAGAAAATAATTATGACTCAGAAATACAAAAATAAAAAAAAAACCTTTTTACTATTTTTAAAGTCGAAATATATTTTATATGATATTTTAGATGTCGAGAATCTGAATAAAGGCTATCGGACCATTAGTTGCCGAATCACAAAATTGATATTCAGCATATAGTGTCGTACATTTCACATATTAAGAGTGTTTGTCGTGTTCGTAAAACCTTATTATCATAACGACCTAGATGTTTTTCGAAAAATAACAAAAAGATAATAAAATATTAAATCTACTGCGAGATTCTCCGACAAGTTATACAACCGATTTTCTTCGTCCGTTGCTATGGCAGAAATGCCAACCGTTATAATATCCAAATCAAAATATTAGATAAATCATCGTCGCGGAATATTAGATTTTCATCGTACGAGGTACGGTTTTTATATTTTTTATATTTCGATCATTGGTTTTTGTATAACACATCACTTTAAAATCTGCGTGGTCGCAAGATCCAGCAGTCCAATGTCTCGTGGCGACATAGCTACGGGAACGGAAAAAGAAAATTAGCAGCAGAAGCAAACAACGGAATTGCAATAGAGCGGCTTGTATAAATAAATGAGAAAAAAAAAAAATAAAAACAAAATGAAAAGGTGGACGAGTAGCAAAATAATGGCTTATCTCAGTAATTGGTTGTGTTGTTGTCGAATTAGGCCGCAGGGTCGTAATGTGACGGTGTAGCACAAAGCACGGCGGCGACGGGGGAGATGGAGCGACACCGGAGGGAGTGCGCGGATAAGTTCTTCGCGAACGAAAGTTCATAAGCATCGGGGGCGGCGAAGGAGATTACGGTCCGTATATATGTATTTATAATCTCACGCAGGAAAACGAAGTAATTAGTTTTCTTCGGAGGTAATACCACGGGATCGTTGGAACGGCCGAGAGCGAACAACGGCTTCGTGTTATTATCGCGCGCGGCCAATCACGAGATTCGTCAACGGGCGATTGCTTCCAATCGGTGTCTACGAATGTTGAGGCCGGGGGCCGATCTCGGGCGTTTGTTAGACGAGGATCATCCGATTGAAGGGTAGTTTCGCCCACGGGATTCGAAACGCTCAGGACACACGGCGTTAATCAACTCTCGAACGGATGAACTTTGGTTAACGTCACCAGCACTTTTTTTTTATATATATTTTTTTTATTCTTGTTACGATTCCATCCGTTTTCGCGAATACTATTATTATTTTTATGTCGTTTAAGTCATGTGCGTTCCCCCCCCCCCTTTGTCAGCCGCACTGCGGACACGACTGCGTTGGCTTCACCGACGCTATGCTTTCGGATAATAACTCCGTTGAGAACTAGTCGTGGTCACCGATCAACCATATTATTATTATTATAATTCGTGCTCACGTCCGTCGGATCTTTTGAAAGATTTTTTGAAAACGGCTAACTGTTCACGAACACTAATCACGGGCGACGGTTAGTCTCTTTGTTTGCGGCATTGGAAGTAGGTTTTCACCGCGCCGGGAACCCACAGGAATCCGACCGCGACCTCCGAGGTCGGTAATTCGTGTTTGATCGCGTTTAATGGTTTTCGCTCGTCCGCGGCAAGGACGGAGGGCAGAAGTTTTCCTTGGTCGCAGGGACACCGGTGTATCATCGGCTGGAGGTCGTGGAGATGTTTTCGACGAGGCCAACGGAAATCAACAAGATCACACGTCACGCCTGACGGGATGAAACTTTCAAAAAAAAAAAAAACTCGTCCCGTACGAATATGTAAACGTTATAGATTCGAACCGGATCGAGAAAGTTTGATCTCGCGGTCGTCGCGCGATGCGTCATTTGATTTCACTAACCTGTAAACGTCGTCGTACGCGTTCCCGTACGTAAACACGCCGTGGAGGGACGAATGAGCGTGTACGTCGATGACCAGATCGAGTTCCATGTTCTGAAACAATACCAATAACCAAACGGTGTTACTGGTGTGCACGTGCGTTTTACGCGCCACTCGTCCGCGCAACGACCCACCTCGTTCTTCTCGATGTCCGTCAAGTGATTGCGAACGGCGTACAGTATCGGGTGCACCCACTGCGATATCTTGTGCCAAGCTCTGTTCAAGTCGATTCCCAACAGGTTGGTCCTGCAACAGCAGCGCTGTACGGTCATGCAAATATTTTTCAATCGTCGTGTCGGTTCCAAGACCTACGGCCACGACGCAACATGCTAACTAATCGTGCACAGTTGAGTCGTTGTTTTCACGAACTAAAATCTATCGCGACAACCGTAGTTGTTACAAGATCTGATGCTTCTAAAGAATATTCAAACAATAATTTCTACGTACTCTCGCTAAATCCTAACCAATATTTACGAAGCATATTTCGGAAAAACTATGCATTGTAATAGGTGTACATTCCTTTGGTTATTTTTCGGCCAATGAACATTCGTGTATATTAATACGTAGTATATCCTATAAGACGGTAAAACTGATGCGGTAGGGAAATGTTTTTAATATTTTTGTTTACGTTTGTTAAACGGGCACAACTAGTTTTAAAAATGTTCAGTTAAAATCTGGAACTCGTTTGCGTACAAATTATTACGAAAAAATACTCTTTAATACAATTATATGCTACATATTTAAACGTAGTTACATGTTGTTACATACCTACACACCTACACACATTCAAACTATGAAATTGACGATAACAAAGAATTTACGGTTAAAATCAAACATTATATCGTATTATAACGTATTATAATCGTTCTACTTTGATAAACTTTATCAATATTTACTACCCATCTATAATACTATCGTAATAAAATCGCAACGTTATTTTTCAACTTTGGTTTCGCCAATTCTTTCATATAGAAATATGGTTTATGAAATAACAAATATATATTGTATGCGTCTCGGTAAAATGTGTGCTTCTATTTACAACTTTAAATTTTCAAAGTATAGAAAATTAAATGTGGGAAATTTTTATTTCGGTGTAAGTATCAATATAAACTGTAAATCAATGGCTTCATTAAATATTCCGTGTAAAATTAATTATAAAAACGAACATAATCGCAATGAATATTCTCATAACGAAACACATAAAGATTTAATCCGAAGTTTTGTTAAAATATAGGCCACTGAAGAAATGCGTACACAATCAAGTAAAATTATAGATAATAATTATTAAAATTAGGATATAATATAAACATGGTGACATTCATTTGTTATGAAATTCAATCTATGCAACGAGAAAAAAACATAACCCGAAACTTCCAAATACTGTAAACGAGGCTGTTTTTTACAGCTGAATGAGTTTTAAGTAAAATTCAAACATGAACAGTATATGTATTTCAGTGACGATAATAGTGTAGTATTGTTTACATGCTCAGAATAAGTGCTTTATGTGACTCTTAACAAGTATTTGGGGATGGAACATTTTCTTACTGTCCAAAATTATATACTCAGCTGCATACCATTCATATTTATCAAAATTAGTTTTACGTCCTAGTAGTATTTTGTTTTTTAGAAGATAAATAAATATACGTTGACATACACAACTTTGGGACTCACATTCTTAATCAGCAACTTATTATTAAAGAATTTCATGTTGATTTTGAAAAAGTAGCACATAACTCATTTTCACAGTGTAAAATTGTGTGTAGTACATTTTATTTAGTCCAATCTTGGTTTTGCCTAATACAAAGTAGTAGTAAATTATTACGGGAGTATAAAAATAATAATTCGAAGGTACGTAAATGGCTTAAATTTTTTTTTTTGGTTTTCCGTATTTACCACCAGATGAAACAGAAATAACATTATAAAATTTAATAGCTATTGCTTCAACTGATGGATTACACTTTTTTGATTAAATTTTCGCATCATATATATTACCTAATTAAAACTTTAATTCATCCCTGTGGACAGTAAAATCTGATGATTAACCAAAAACAACAAACGCAGCTGAAGCTTTCCATATGCATTTTAATAATCAATTCTACAACTCTCATCCACATGTGTACCATGTTATTTTAAACATTCAATTAGAAACTGAACTTAAATTCAATTCAATAAAAATGAATGTTAATAACTATCATCGGAAAAAAATGTTACAAACAATTGAGTATATGAAAAATGTGTGGACCAAGTTTACAGATAATGAAATTGACAAATTTAATTACTTAGAACAAATGTGTGACCGCTTTCAAGGTAAGCAATTGTAGTAACATAAAATAAGTATAAAAAAATGACAAAATCAAATGACCGCTTTCTTCTTTTTTACCGTAATTGGTTTTAAATATTTTTAACACATAGTATACCAAAAACATAATTTTAACCTCACCAGTGAAGTTCAAATATTCACCGACAGTTCTAAGTCTGAATAAGTGAGAAGGGAAATTTGTACGCAAACGAGTGATAGCTTCAGCAATAATTGTGCACAAACGAGTTGTAGTTTTAGTAAATATCCGGAAACCATGTGCGTTCACGCTAAACAATCTTTGCATATTAAACAATTAGGATATCAATATAATGAATATACAAACGTTATGAGCTGTCCGATTAATATAATAAGCATTTTAGAGTTTTTGAAAATCTAACACTAAACTATCCAATTTAATGTAACTGAACAACACAAAATATAGAATTGTTACTGAACTGCGAACACTTACCTTGAATTTCCTAAAGTGACTCCGTCGGGGTTCATCATAGGTATTAATTGGAATACAACTTTTTTTCGAAGACGTACTACGGCCGGATGATTGCTTATCAAAAATTCGATGATTCCTGCCGACAAGCGTTTAGTTAGATTACATTTCTTACTTAAAATAATTGCTCTGTACACACCTTGGCAGACATAAGAGCTCGGTGTCTCAGATCCGTGTACTCTGCCCAGTATCACGACGACATGCACTTTTTCGGTTGGTTTCATGTTTTTCGGATTAGTAATCGTGACCAAGTCCAATCGTTTGTTTTGCTTGAAATGCATAAGAAAACCATACTTATTCGGCTTTGGTAAAACGAATAGTTTAAGATTGAATTATTAGAGTAGAAAAGTGTTTATTGGCGTAGAAAAAAAAAGTGTGAAACCCAAAACGTCTAAGGTGCAGCAAACTTTTACGGGTGAATGGCATTCATACATTTAACATCACAGTTCCTAATGATGATTTGATGATTCATCGAAGTATAGACATTCAAAACGGCTATAGTTTCAAATTATTACCAATTCATTTTGATTGAACTTGTACTCGGTACGACACAAAACTCACACTTAGAAGTCATTCAGATCCTGCGATTATAAGGTCACGAGAATATACTCGAGATATATGACTACTTCGGAAAACTCTTTCATATAAAGCCCCCCCCCCCCCATACACCGACGTATAATACACGACGACAAAACTATACGATATACTGAATGCCGATACATCATGTACAGCATAAATTAGGATTTATATTTAATTACGAGAGCTTGACGTTTTATGTTTTCAGTGACACCGAATAGACTATTAAATTCGTTTTCGTTCAAGTTAACAATTAGGGATTAGTTATTTTCTATAAATGACAATCTATTTCCAGATTGTCTTATAATCCTATAATAATCGTATTTATTTAGCACATTGAACTATTTATATGTACAATGAATTATTTGTTATTCATGTAACATGGTTTTCCGCGACGTGTTTCAATGGAAACGAAAATTGTCCACACCACTGGATTCGATGCGAAAATATCATTAGACTAACTGACGTGTAAAACCGTTTTGAAACAACAGAGATGCTCGCACAAATAATTCTAATATAACATTACATAAATTCCCATTCGGCGATAGAAAAAACACAGTTTATCGAATTACTTTTGCGAAATGCTATACCGTACGTTGTCGGACGATTGTGCGCTGGTCTTATGTTTATAAATATTTTACAACTACAATTTTTTCACCGAAACACGTGATGTAACAGAGATCGTAGATGCAATAAATATTTGTCACTGTTTTGAAATAACCGTGCGTTTCAGACCCGTGGCAGTTCCAAACCAATAAAACGAGAGGCCTGGGAGGGAGAGATTTAAATAATTTTAAATATATTTAAAACCATAGCTGATAGATCTAATGTGCCTAAAAAGACCTGAATTCGAATTGCCTTTTTTTTAAGCACGCCGGAATCTTCCTTCCTCCAAGAACCCCTGTCTTTTTCGCAACTCACCGGACCGCAGAACAATTATTAACATTACCACCACGATGGTATGACGATAATATGATGGCCACATCGAGTACACCTTTAGAGACATTGTAATACTATTGTCCGAAAAATTATTGTTCAGTTTCTGTACAAGCGTGCGCAACTAATGTGATACAAAATGCATTCGTAGCGAATTACAATCGACTGTCCCAGCAGTTCGCGTTTGAAATAAGGCAGCTTCTTTTTCTCAATCAGCGACAGATAATTCTGAAACCGGGTGTACGAATACGGATACGAGTACGAGAATTGATAGCTATCGTCATCCTTGTCGAACGAGAACAGTATGCTCAAGACATATTTGTTGTCGTGGTACACCGATCGATGGTAGTGTACTCTGTAAATTGGTATGCGATACCTGTAATAAAAAAAAAAAAAAAATCCAGCCATTCAGATGGTTCGTCCATCACTGCGATAACGTTATTGTTGTGTTATTTGCATTATAAATATATATGCAAATATCTTCTTATTGTTTTCAATAAGTTCAACGCTACATTCACTTAATCTGCTTTGTGTGCTAAGAATTGGGAAAATTAATCTAAAGAAATTAATATCAATTCATGTAAACTTCCCATCAAGTAACAATTAATTCTCAATATTAACTCCATGACAAAATCGAATTTATTAAGGTACATCGGAGTAATTATTTATAAAATACTTACATAAAAATATCATATTGAAAAAAAGGAAACAACGTAACTCACGAAATTACCATCCGAACCCAATTTTAAAATAACATTTTTCTTCCTTTATTAAAATATAAAAATGTGTAATCTGTAACGTAATATGTATAATCGGCAAAATTTGCTATTGTTATTTAATAACATCTTTAAAATATTTACATCACGCGAATAATATTAGGAACGGGGCTGTCTAGTGGCGTAACCTTCAAAAACTACTTAATTTTATAAACAAAATAATATTATATAATTCCGTTATAGCGTCTGAGTGATTATATAGGATAAAAATTTGGGGTCAAGCCAAGCCGTCCGAAATTCGTCCACTGGAAGTCTTTCAGGAAATACGTTTACGACTAATTACCGGATACCCATGATATGTTTCGAACTTGAATCTACGTAAATACCTATAAAGGTGAACATGATCTCTTCACTCTCAATCCTATACCTTTAGTATTACAAAATAATCCACGATAAACTGAAAAAAAAAACCACATCTTCTTGTCACAAAATGAAATCTGTTTCGAAGGTTGAAAGAAAGATTGTCCAAGAGGAATCTTAACACAAAAAACTAAAAATAAAATAAGTAATGATTATTAATAAACAAATTGTATTTATCATGCTTTTCGTGTAATTTTATTGTATTATTTATTTGTGGGTACAGCGAGGGATTTCACAGAGAAAAGTTAGTGTAAACATGCTGTTAGCGTAAAAGACGAGGACTGAAAGGAACGGAAAAGTTTAAGTGTTCTGGATACGTTGCTATACAGATGAGTGCAATGCATTTATTAAGCGGTGAATGTAACGTATACGCACGTGTACACGCCTTTTAACCAATTTAAAATAAGTTACTGAATGCCATACGAAGGATCCAGGTGAATCCGGTGAATCGGAGACACGGTCTGAGGGTTTGATTTCTATTTTTCTGTTTTAAATCTTAATCAAATAAAATGTTTAAAATAAAAACAACTGTAACGTAAATTTTAATCAACGTTGTTCCTATATCGGGTGCAGAACCCACGGTTTGGTCGATTAGATTTTAATACAAGTATCTATGTTGTAGAAATCGATTTTCATAACTCTTTGCGTCTTGTAATTTATTTTACAGACTAACATTTATGGTTTTAAGCGAAATTAATGATTCGTGTACATCTTATTGACTAACGAACGAATTTTGAGAAAACAGAACTTTTCGAAGTTTATAATGGTTTAGGTTTTATTGTGTTACAAAAAAATAAAATTAGCTAAAACCGTTTTCTTATCAAAGTATCAAATAAAAGAGCAGAAAAAAACGTGTACTACTTAACCTTTACGATTAAGATACTTAATTAACATATATTATTAATAGAAAAAATATTTAATACACGTTAAATGAGTGTAAATGAGTGTGACACGATACGTCAACTTGTGTACCATGTTTTCTATGCCGTTCGAACTCTGAGTTTTAATCAGGTCATCGACAAAGTGTATACAATTTCAACAATATCTGAACCGAATGTTAGTCAACACTCATACAGCTATTTTGGGGGAGGGGGTGAGATGGAGTTTAATGGTTTATAATATTTTATACCATTCGAGTAATACGGCCTAAGAAAATTTAGTACCGAAATATTGCGTCCTACGTGTCATAATGGCTTAGAAGTCCGGTATTGTGTTAAACTTTAATATCTAGGCTCAACTATAGGTAATCTCAATCAATACTAATAGTATAAACGCTTAAATAATGTCAACCAGCATGTGGTCCCTGTAGGTGTATTGTGTATTATACGTTTTGACTGCAACCGAATTATTCAAGGCCTGCAAAATCCGTATGGCATGCGGGTACGACACGGTTCTTAATTTTTTCGAACATGGAGATACACGATTAATATTTGGCATGCGGTTTTTAATTGTTTTAGTTGAAAATTTACGATGATATATATATATGTGTGTGTGTGTGTGTGTGTGTGTGTGTATGTGTTATTATAAGACAAAGCTGACTACATCTCATTTTTTTCGGTATCGATAAAATATGAGCACTTTAACGATTAAATATCTAGTTTCACGTTTACGCCTATACTGTTTATAGAAAGAAAAAGAAATGTGCTCTGAAAAAAATAACGAGGATAACATTATAAGATCCGATGTAATCTCGAACAATTTTTTTTCTAACGTGAAATTCGATTCACTTCACGGGTTTTCTATGGCACGTCAATACACGTAATCTCGAATAAGAAGAAGGGGGACGATGACTTTCCACCCTTCAGACATTTTCAGGCTGAGCAAAGTACCGTCTAACCTTTTCTGTTGGAAGCTCGATTTGAAATTTATATTTGGTTTTAAATATACGCTATTTTTACCGTGTAAACATTTTTATACTGCAGAACTGAGAGAAATAAATGAATTATTTTTTCTGCTGATCAGTCATCGTTATAAACGGTTGATTTGTTCTTCGATCATGGTGTTAGTTACGTATGATACTATCTTTATATAGATGCTGAGGTACTGTCTAACAATTGAGACCGATAATTTTGTTTTCTAAATGATTAAAAGATCAATTTTTGAAATTTAATTACAAGTTAAAACTATTGAAAGAGACCGTTTGAATCGCTGCCTAACGGCTATATTGAATATGTTGCACAAAGATAACTAGATATAGATAAAAAATATTTGTATAAATTTATCTAGATAATGATAAAAGATAAAACACTTTTTATCTGAATAAAAAAAAGGTAAAAACTTTTTATTTTATTAATTAATTTACACTTTTTTTTATAAATGTATACTTAAAAAATTAATTAAATTAATATTAACTTAACTTTGATGTAATAGGTATCTCTAATAAAAATAATGAATAAAAAATATTTATATTTTGTACATTTATGTATGGGGAATAAGTAATAAATAATAAGTACTTAGTTAAAAAAAAAAAATACATTCTCTGTAGGTATATTAAAATTTTAAAAAACAATTAATTAAAATACTTATTATGGTGTAATATTTATGATTAAAATATTAATATTAAAAGATAATTCAACTATTATCTATAATATTTGATTCTCTTTTTTAGGAATCGAATATTGTAAGAGTCACTAGAAAGTATAAATTTAATAGTTTTTATCAAATATGTAAACGATTCTTAATGATAATAATTAATGGCGCAATTTAAATAATGCAACTAAACCATATATTGCAGTAACACAACTTTTAAAATAATAGTAATTAATTATAAAGTTAATAAATAAATAAAGTTTTTATTAATTTTAAATTTTTATTAGTTTTTAACTTTCAAGTTCAATTTATCGAATTTTTTGATTAAATATACTCGTATTCTTTTATCTAGATGAATTACGTTAGACAACTCAAGAATTCATCTAAGATATTCATCAGATAACTAATTTTGTTTATTATTTAGATAAGATAAAAAATAATTAATTATTCACCTAGATAATTTATTTAGATAATTTATCTAGATAACGATCAACACTGCATATCGTTGACCAATATAAATGATTGAGTTTTTCCATGTCCTATTAATATTCTAAATGGACGGTTGTACATGTGCACGGGTTAACTATCGGTAAACATGCATACGTGGCCAGGGAGGGTACGGAATTCTACTGAATGTACACTAAAAATAGATTGTAAGTGCGAATAAAGGGTGTCTACACTGCAGCATTAGCTTCGCGCTCTAAGGGTACGATTCCACGTGTGGGTACGTTGCTCGTGTACGCGAAAGGATGTTACAATGCGTCCAATGCGTACGGTCGAAATCGTTCCACGGAGTGTACAGCGTAATAACACCTGCGCGTACAAAAATCCGCCACTAAAACGATAAGACCGAAAACTAATAAAAATCAAGCATGCGATATTATCATTCGACGAACCTTCCCGGATTAGCCGGGTATTCATAACCCCCCCCTTCTGGTCACCTATTTCGACCTGCTCGTCGCACACGATGTTGCGTACCGCCGTGCACCCGACCGTCGTCGGCTTAATCGCATTTCGGTACGGCGAAATCAAATTAGATCAGAAACTAAAATTGAAATTGAGAAGAGGAGAGCCCGCACGAGGATTGAACGACGAAACGGCAGGAAGCCGTGGACCGCGTAGGTTCCGCGATGAAAAACGCGGGACTACGACCCATCCTTCGCTAATCTCGTGTTATACGAAGCGGTCATTCGTCCGCGTTAACTACATCGTCTCGATTGCAACGCGAAATACTAACAGGCACATAACGGTTATGGGTAAGGGATCATGGACGCAACTAGAGCTCAAATATTGGGGGTGCTGAAATTGCTGAAAATAAAATTGAATGGTATTTCACTGTAATTATTATAGATTATATAGATCTAAAAAAAAAAAAAAAAAAACCAGAAGTGGTACATTTGAACTCAAGGGTGCTATAAACCCTACTGCTCCTCCTAATTGCACCTGTGTAAGGGATGCAGTTGCACCGCGCGCGCGAATAAAATCGTATCGAATGGGGCTCGCGTACCATGCGTTCCGGCTCGTGCTCCTCACTATTGGAGTCATTCCGTTTTTGAACAGATTGTTCTTGTTGCTGATGTTGACTATGTTGAATATGACGTTCTGGAACCAAACAAAAACATGATTGAAGTTTAACATCGTCCGCGAGCGATTCGTTGTTTTTCGTTTTAAAATATTCGCACTTGATCCTGTCTCGTATTTTCCACGACAAAATTGAACCATAATCTGTGCCGTGGATTGCAGGTGTCCGGTCGTATGAAAAGATCGTACTCGTACTCGCATACCAAATCGATTCTGCCTAAATTGCCTACAACACAAACACATGAAAACAAACACGATTATCGTATTATATAGTCGAACAGGATTGGGAGGATGTAATGGAATTATTATCCAGCGTATCGTAGTACAATGTTTATAAATATTTATACACATATTCTTTTCGATCGCTTCAGAAGCTTATAAGCTTGTAACACCCGAACATTATTCATTATGTCATGTAAAATAATAAAAGTGTATTATTCAATGTCACTCGTAAAGTTCACACACACAGGTATCACTTTCATTTGAATGGATATTGCACGAGTATAAAGTTGAGCTCGATAAAATGTTTTACGCGATCGTGTACCCAGAGTAATGCGTGTTGTGATGATTCGCGAACGGTCAAAAAAATCAAGACCGATCGCTTGTTGCAGCGGTTCCCAAATTTTGAGGCGCGTCTCCCTTGGGAGGCGCATACACTTTTCGGGGGAAGGGTGAGAAAAATATTTGCATTGCATTTTACACTACCATATATTTATTTTTGAACCAACAGTAATTTTATTACGTTTAAATAATAAAAAAATGTTCTTTTATTTATTCATGGGAGGAACGATCATTTTTTGTTATGGGGATATGTGACCAAAAAAAGTTTGGAAACCATTGCTTATTGGATCAACACTATTCGATCGTGAACGCGTACTTATTAGATTTATAACGTGGTAGTGAAAATTGGATATTATAGTCGTGTAATATACCATGTATTACCGATGTTTAAAATTATCGAACAACGGTGCGTAATACGAGTATAAAGATATAATCACATCATATGACACTTCAAGTGTAAACCTCCTGTTACAAGTGTATGTTGGAAAAACTATGCTCAATTATACGAACTAGTTACAAAAAAAAATTAGTTGACGAAAAAACCATTAAGGAAGTATTTCAGCAGCATATTTAAGTGTAAGGGTTTTGAATCAATATCAAAATTCTGACATAACCAGTCATCCAGTAAAAAACCTGTTATCATCAACGTTTATTGTTTGAATCGTCCATGTCGATTTTCTTAAAATTGTTAATGAAATAACCGTAATATCATCACTATTATATCTTATACTATTATTTATTGAATACTATTATTAATAACGTTTAAATTTGGCGCTGGGCACAGATTTTGAGAAGGGAATTCGACCAGATTCATTATAAGACAAAACTGATCACTTTTTCTCAGACTTCAAAAAGACTAATTCTACAATAAACGTATAAAAGGTAAAAATTATCAAGAAAATTATTATTACTAAGAGGCTTAAGAGAATCAATATTGAAAATAATTATTAAATATTATATAAAGGGGACTATTGTTGATAAATTTAAAATGTTATATTAATTGAGTGTGTAAGTTGTTTTGTGTAAAAATGAAATTATTTTTTATTTAAAAAAAAAGTATCTAAAATACAAATGATGAATACTGTTAAGGAAACTAGTAAGTCTCCGTTTAGATTAACTACTTTAACGAATAAAGAGTTTCAAATTGAAAAAATAATAAAATCTAGTCTCAAAAAATAAAATTGAAAGTTTCGAGAAAAATATAAATAAATTAAATAGTTTTTGCTCAAAATATCAAATAAATACTCGAATTAGTAATGAAGCAGAATACACACAGATAACCTTTGAAACAAAACCCAAAGTAAAAATGACTCAACCAACAACTGAAATTACACTAAATTTACAGGAAACATTTAAATTAATACCAACTTGTTCGGGAGAAACAGATATATACCTATTTATAAACGAATTCGATATTGCAGTAAATTCAGTGGATTGGGAAAATTCATCACTTGTAATACGATATATAACCTTCAAATTGTTGGGTAAAGCTTTAGATCTATTAAAATATTAAGATACATCTAAGTGGGCAAACATAAAAAATATAATTAACCGAATCATTTGAATCACAAAATTCAGCATCTTCTTTACAGTTACAAATAAATTCTGTACAAATGAACTGAGAAGAGACCCTAAACTCTTACACAAAGAAAAAAGAACAACTATCTATAAATTATATAATATTTATACGCTTAATAATTAAAAAATGAAGTTTAAATAATTTCACCACGCCGTAATTGTAGTTAAAACATGTTTTCCATTTTTGATGACAAATTTATTAAATTGATTTAAAACTCTAATGACATTAATATTTAATAACATTAAGTTATTCCTTGAACTATTAAATTGTTATCGTCATTTTAACGACAATTTCGGAAGAAAAATAAAAGCATAAATTCACCAATATTAACATACCTCAATTGGGATATGGGAAAATGTAATTTTATAAAAAACGCGAGTCAATGCGGTATAATAATAAAAAAAAAAGATGTAAGGATTATCAAACTAATTAGAACAACGTTAAGAAAATAATTATGAAACATTTAGAAAGGTTAGATATAGAATAATAGAAACAAAAATAATTACGAATAAAAATATTAAAGAAACAATAGGGAAATTAATTATAAATAAACAATATAATTATTTGATAAAAAAAAAAAATAAATAAAAAGTCACTGATGTAATTATAAAATATTTACATATATTTATTCATTATCTAAAGTAAAACTAAGTAAACTATAAATGTATATATGTATACATTGTAACGATAAGCCAAGTCGACACAAACGGAACAAAGTTTTTCATTAAGTATTCATAAAGTTTTGAAGTTAATGTAATTTAATGCCTCGTTAATAATATATACCTGTTTATGGGAACCACTTTGTGTTCAATTTAAAAAAATATACATATTGTATTAAATTGTACTTGGTTTTTAATTAAAAAAATTAGTATGGTTTTGGGGAGTATAAGAAAAATTTTAAATAATATGAAACACGATACTGTTTTAGAATTCGAATAATTTATTTTATAATCATGGATATTAATCCATGATAACAATAATAACAATCAAATTAAAAGAAATATTTTATTCTTGAAGTGTATTACGCCATGTATTACTAATTATCCTACAACGATGTAGAATACAACGATATAATCATATCATATAACACTTGAACTATATACCTGTTACACGGGTGAGGGTTGCACAAGAAACAACTATAGTCGACGAAAAAACCAACAAGTGATTCAGCAGCATATATAAGAGCTCTGGATCAACACCTACATCCGATATAGAAGCTCTACCTACTGTTACCATCATCGTTTTTCTATTTAATTACATTTTTTTTAAAACATTTTTATTCAATTGATGTTGATTTTCTTTGAAGTGTTAATCAAATAAACGTAACATCATCACTGGTGTTCTTTGTCCTGTATAGAATACTATTATTTACATTTGAACATTTTTGCACCGTTAAGTCAACCATTCGACACGTTACAGTCGATGTAGGAGAAAAATGTTTAGCCATGAATTGGATTTGCCATCAATAAATATAACGTATTTGATCCTTTGCGCTGAACTCCGTACAGACGTATACGTGTAAGTAAATACGTTTTCAGAAGCTAATAGGCCGGTGACACTCTTTTGTCGCGTGTTCGCAACAGCTTACTCTCGGAATATGAATCATAAAAACGTGACGGTAGATTGGTGGTACTCGCCGACATTCCAAGTACGTTAAAGGGTAATACGTTCGTTCGGCAAAATTAAATTAGTACTGATGGGGAAAAAAAATCGTAAAAATGAATAACTCGGCTGAATTGAAATGCGGGATACGCTAAACTAGACGTTTGTCTACAACAGTGACCACCAAGAGTCGGTTTTGTAGTGCGGGAATGGGTTTTTTTCCCCGAACCATACGAATTGTGCCTAATAACGACGAAAAGCGAAGACCGTTGTACTTACGACCATTTTGAGTTTGTATAATGTGTTCAATCGTGTCGGAATCGATGCAGAGAATACCATTACACTACGAGTTTATACACTTCAATATCGGTCGTCGACCACAATATTATGTAAATCATTTCTGGATTGTACATATCATTACGAGTACAATTCATATTAGTAGTTCGCGGTTATCAGCGTATCGTTTAATATTAGGTTCAGTACGTTTAAAATAATTCAATATTATGATCTGTTCCGCATATCGTCAGCTTTGAGTAGGTACATGTGATTCAAGACGGCAATATGCTCGTCGTGCGCTGATTTAATCGCTGTTCACTTCTGCGGCTTAGCCTGTAGTTCGGATTCGTATAATCTAATGATTTCTAGATCTGCTAGAAGTCGTGTTGTAAACAATGAGTTAAATGCTATTGATTTTTCGCAACCCCACAAACAAAATAAATCTCTTGGTTATTCTTTCGCTCAAAACGTATGAAAATAAATCGAAACTATTTACAAGTGCAAATCGGTTTTCGGTATTCGCTACTTTACATTTTACCAACATGTTAAACTTAGCTAATATCTCAGTAGAATGATTGAATTGGATAATTTATATTTAATTGTATTACCTTTACAAATTTTCATATTTAAAAAAAACTATGTTTAACATCATTAACCATTTAATATTAATATTTAATAGAATAATAAGCCACATATTTGAAACGCTATAGAATACATATTACCAATCAAAGCACCTTTGATCAATGTATTTAAATTATTCATGATCAAATAACATGCGATTCTATCACTGACTTGGGACCACTTGATGGGCGTCAAAAGTTGGGTATTTTTTGCGGTTTGAAGATTAATTAATGTATTGAAGATATTTTCACTAAGACGAAAAAACAAAAAATAAAAAACAAAACCTGACAACTAATAAAGATTTTCTCCATGTCGAGATTGAACTATTATGTTGATTAACTAGTGACTAATCAACGTAAATAAAAAAATCGTTCCGATTTTTAATTTTTTTTATTTCATCGTTTACAGTGTTAGTATAATGAATATAAGGTACATAAAATATATAATTAACCCTTGGGTCCGCTGTTAAGTATTGGCGCCTCTTGCGGGAATCGTTCGGTCCCATACTTTTTGAACCACTGCACTGAGCACAATATGAATACATTATAGCGTATGATTTATTAACGAGGAAAAATATAATTCAATTTAACACAAATTATTGCTTATCGAACGTGACACGCGATGATTTTAAGAATCACCATTATCACCACTGCAATCACCACCATTCCTTCAGTTATATGTTGTACGTTTGCTTGTACAGTACTTGTACAGTTGTATTACGTATTCGTCGTTCTCTTATCACAGTTTCTGTTTTATTACAGATATTCTCGTGTATATTCATTACACTATTTGTCTTTACGTACGGTTTATTTATTTTATTCTCTCTCGTTCGTATCTATTAAAGAAGCCGGTATGCAATAACTGTTTCGTTAATATTATTACTAAACCTCTACAACCAGTTTTATATTATAAATAACAAATTGTACATTACACTCTACTCATATAATAATGAATGATGGCAGCACGCGTTAGTACATGAAAACTACTATTTTCTACTACCCATTTTCAAAAAAAAAAAATTAACCACTGACTCCGATATGAATATGGTATGTTTAGGACTTGTGTGTAACGTACTAAATAACGCTTTATTTTTAAATTATTATGTGATTTATTTATGAAAAAACTCTTTATTTGTCTTTATATAAAAATGTAATATGTACCTAAAACCATAAGAATTATTTGTAATCTAAAATGACCATGGGTCTCCTCCATACGAGTTTTTCTCAGTGAGGTCCAGTAATCTTTTCGATACTAATTTAAACAAAAATATATATTCCTCCCTGTGACGATGACGTTTCCTTGAAACGCGCGAAAGAACATCGTTTTCAGATATTGATTTATCAGCATTTAGTTTAATCGAAACGATGATAAATGTATATTGAATTGATTTTTCGAAAATAAAAATCATATACAAGCTTTTGTTGTTGGTATTACGAAACAACTATTTTCAACATTATGAATAATCCGCGGTGGCAACGATAAATTTATATGGCTACATTACCACTGAGACGTGACTAAAAGTGGTCTAAAATAAAAATCATTGTTTAACATCCAGAAAATAAATAGCAAATCAATATCTGAGAAATTTTGCAATAGCGAAGCGTTGCCGGATCAGCTAGTTATTTATTAAAATTAATCCATTAAAATTATATATAGCTAATCATGACAATATTAGTAAAAAACAATATCTATCCCTTAATGCAACAGAGTGTACAATATTTTTTGTTATCCCATCTTTTGCAAAACAAACTGGATGGTTTGAGAGCACGCCACTTATAATTGTCCGTGTAAAAAATATGATACGTTCAAATCTAAGCCACAGACATCGTTTGGCCTTGAGACTTATTGATAGTCATTGCAAATGCTAATCTAATTGGAAATTGAAGGCGTTCGAATTGTATTGGCGCATCTGTGGGTATAATAGGGATTCGTGGTAATAATATATTTTCACCTCAGAATTTTCCATTTAAAATGATGGATAACATTTTTCATTAATTTTTTAACGACTTATCGCGTGCTGTTGTACAACCGAGGTGGGTCAAATTACGAAGCAAAATAACCGAAGATCAAACCTTCAATTGTAAATTATGCAGTGGCATGCCTGGTAAATTCAATGAGTTTAAAAACTATGTTGAATAATTTACAGCTTCAGTAGCATTGCACCAAGTCTCCTGGTAACAAATTTTGTATCTTGAGATTCAATTCGTTGACGTCCATATTTTTTGTTACTAAAATTGCTCTTTCTGCCAGCCACTCTTGTCTGTGTTGTCTGTGTACATTGGGAAATATCTGGTCAATGAGAGCATTTTGGGAATAAATGATTGTGTAGAAATCGGTCGGTAATTTTATACATCCCGTTTCATCTGTAGTATTTTTCCCATCTCCAATATCTAACAATTGTTTTGAGAAGCTTCTGCATGCAGCTTTTTTTGATTGAATCACAAGTATCGAAATAATTTTGACCATGAATTGTTGACAAAGTTCATGAAATCGTAGATAATAACTTTGTCCTGATCGCGTCTAATCGTCAACCGATATGCATAATTATTTTTGAACCAACATTCTTATTTGTTTTGGCACCTGTTGCGGGATCTTTTTGTTTAATATTTATGCAATACCCGTCATTTACTACCAAAAATAAAATAAATAGTTTTTAATAGTTTATTAATAGGTTTTTAATAGTTTTTTTTAATAATTCGACCGGGTCAAAAATTATTCAATTAAACTATGATTTATTAAACAATAGCACTTTTCCAAAATTTTTTTCGTAAAAACCTTCACCTGGCAATTACGAACAATTAAAAAAAATTTAAGCCAAATCGGTCCAGCCGTTCTCAATTGATGAAATGTTATACAATTTTGGCTCCATTTTTATATATATATAGATAACTAATAAGTTATTAGTAATAACTAATTATTTACTTACTTTATCGGACGAAATGTACGCCTAAAACCTTCTCTGTGATGTCCTCTTTAATTTAAAAAAAACTGCACGACGATCCAATAAGTAGTGTCAGAGTTTACCCCGAACAAAAAAAAGCGACTTCATTTTATATAGTAGTATAGATATAGATATAAATACATCGAGTAATATTTGGGACTGTTGTATAGCCAACGGATTATAGTTCCGAGTACTCAAATATTAAAATGATTAATCTTATCCTATACAGTATACAGTATACTTTAACATACGTAACTGATGAAAATAAGGGTAAAACTCGACTGGACGCAATTGTCTTACCGTGAATGTCACACGACCGTTACGTCGAAAACGTTTGTCGTGCACTCCGATTGCTTCCGACGTGCAGCTGTTATAACGGAACACGCAAAATGAATGCTACGAGCACTTACATTGTACATACGTTTTCACGTCCACAGCCGAGGACGTATTTATTGTTATTCCGGTGTTCTCTCATCTGCAATACAACTCAATTTGATCTGATCAAATTTGCAACGTTTCCGCGATACGTATTTGTAAAATTTTACTATTCGACCGATTAATAATTGCTCAACAACCGTTTTTACCGAACTCACTCTTGGATGATTTTAATGATTCAAGTATAGCGGTATATATTCAAGCATTATACGGTTGAATCATGGTAGTCCTCGATGTAGCCCAATACATTTCTGATAAGAGCAAATTTATAATTATTACGCAACAAGTTCGATAATCTATTTTGCTTAATATCACGCTACATATTAGTATATTACGTAATAGTTGTATGAAACAACGTCGTGACTAATTTGTTGAACCGTAAACAGAATTATTAACGCTAATATAATTTCGATCCTTTTGAAAATCGTCCGCAGCAGTTTTTCTCTCACGTTGTATCGTTTTAACAGTTTGGAATTGAATGAATCGGTCACGCGTAAAGTTGTATGAAAATTGTTATACGATTCCATTAGCCTTTTTTCCAAGTTTGGAAGTTCAATCCGTAATAAATAAATGAATAAAAATCAACTTTTAATCCATTCCAATAAGACACGAGCTGACTGACCTGATTAACTATACTTTCAAATTACCTTGAATTGATTTTTTAACGATTGTCGATTTTCTGTTTACGAGCTCTTAACATTTGAAAATCATTTCACTCACGATTATTTTTCGAGTGCAATGATTAATGTAATTGATTTCAAACCGAAACAAATAAAACGAGTCTTCTCCTAGAGACCTGTACAAAGTACGAAGTATTTTATACACCACCGTCTACTGTCACCCTTATCTTGCAGGGAAAGCAAATAATTCTAATTATTAGAACGAAACGCAAACACTTGGTTTTCTTACTAGGCACGTTTTTTTTATTTTTATTTTTACGTATTTTTTTAATCATTTTAATTTAATACGGGAAATCAATGATTTTATCTTATGAAAGTGCATTAAATATACATAATATAAATATTTAATATATATATAAATAATAATAAACCAGTGTAATTTATTCAGTTTCAACCATCGTCGATTTGTTATTTTTCCATCTATTTAAAACGAATTTTGTATATATATATATATATATTGGTAGAATACTTATTTATAATTTACGACTTTAAAGAAATTAATTCTTCGAACAATGTTTAAAGCGCTTTTGTTTATAATGTAATTATTATCGATTTAAGATGTGTCAATATTATTTACCAGTTTCAAACGAAGCATCAAAACATAAATGTCCTTTTTTTGCTTTTCCACTGTGACCAACCGGCCTCATGATTACTCTTGTGACATTCCCGAGTCCTGCTTCGCCTTCGTCACTGTCTAACATAATTAACATGAATTATTTAAGTAAATATCTGCAAGCTTAAATACATAAAGGAAAATAATCTCTAACGTTATTGATTTAGATTGTTTCTCTACAATTATATCATCATTAAATGTAAACTACAAACAAGAATCTTATAATTTAAATAATTTCAATATATAATATAAATAATACGAAAAATGTGGTTTTCATTATTTAGTTTATATTTCTTTAATCGATTTTAATTATTTTTGGCTTTGTTAACTTAAATATTCTATAGAAGGTCGATTTCGTACAAATTATAAATAAATAAGTGTTATATAAATATAATTAAATATGAAACCCGATCCGTTGAAACCTGAAAGTTGTGCAAATACAGGTCCAGTTAAGTTACATCTCAGAACAAGAGCAGGCCCTTTTAAGGTTCAGTTAAATTGTGCCAATTAGTCGATCAAACTAACCTTTGAATTATGGAAAAGATATCAATTTTAACTCAACGCAAACGGTTCTGCATGAAATGTTTAAGTAATAAAATGTAAAATGACTTATTTATCGAGAGAAATGTAAAATTATTATTGAAAAAGTTACAGAAAAAATCGAAACATAATATATTCAACGAATCGATTTTTAATTTCAGTCTTTGACGCGAAACTTTTGGTATACTACCTGACCCGAAAAACTTTAACTGAAGAGTAAAAATAGGGGAACCACGTGTTGTTTTAAGACCAATACGGGGTCACGGTGCGGGACGGAGGAATGAAACCCTAGAACCCCACACCGGTCGCTGGGAGAAGGATTACGGTAAATGGAAAAATATTTTTTTTTTTGGCAACCAAGTTTCGCGTAATGAAGGGCCAACACTTGCTTTAAACCCTATTCCCATCGTTGTGCTTTTAAGAACCCGACAGTAGGTAACAAATAAAGTATCCCCATAAATTGGTGATTTATGAATCTATATACGCACGCCATTCGCACATGTCTTGTTATCGTGTAATATATGTGTAAAAGTTATGTAATAATTTATATACATATACGTATATATAAACAATGGTACCACAATGAAAACATAATGTTTATCGATGATGATGAACATTTTCACGTTTACCGCCGAAGAACCCTCCACGGTCTCTCCGTCCGTTTTGTATGCTAATTGATACCGAATAAAAAAAATAAGAAAAAAATCTAACCTACTGACTAAGGGATTATAGATGTCGTATTCTCGTTCGATCGCATCTCTCCTAATTGTAATGCATCGTAATCACGACGGAGAGACGTGTACCGAAACAAATGCAGGTTATACTCGTAGATGTATCAGAAATTTATTGTATCCGAGCCGCTAACTGTTTGATACATTTATTACGTAGTACCGATTCGAGGGAAACGCCTGAGAGCCGAAAAAGAAAACATAGATCTTAGAAAAACATCAAGCTTCACACATGACCATTTGGCCCGGGGCCAGGGGCGGATAGGGTTGTCGGGGTACTAGAATTTTCTCGGTAGGCCAATATTAATATTGACGAAAATGGGCAGATGAAAAATATTACTACCAACACTATTATGCATGTAGGTTCATACATACAAATAAAAGTAAATAAATATAATACTCAAAATATTTATTTAAATCTAGCTATAACTATCATAGTAAATTCAAGAAGTTAAAATCAAAAAGAAAAAAAGTATTTACAGTATGGCTACATAATTTTAAATGTGATTCTTTTATGTATTATTTTAATTGAACGATCAAAAATTAAAAAAATAAATTTTTTGCAACATTTCGAGTGTATTTTTTTTTCTTTAATGCATATTTTAACATATACTTGTTCATGTTAAAGATTTTTTAAGCGCATATTTGATTGGATTTTAATGCATATAATCTATAATGATAATTAATTGTTCAGATTTAAATTATCATAATTAGTCCCCCAAAAATCCCCATGGAAAAGTCGATAATTGATTAACATGTTTTTCTATAATAATTATACGTGATCTATGTAAATAGTATAATATTGGTAAAATGTTGTATAACTACGTATGCTTCAAAACGAATTAAAAAGAAAAGAAGGTGCAGAAAAAAAAAGAGATAAAAACCGTATAGAGTTGTTAGAAGAGAGCAAAACATGTGTAAAATTGAATAATATATTTAAGAACGTCGAAAAAAGATGTGGTGATTGCCGTGTTGGTTCTCTTAAAATAGAGGTAATTGTTTTGTTGGAACTTGGATATGATCGTGTGGACCGCTATATTCTATTTTTCCCGGGCCGGTCAGGTTATGTCTATTGGGCCCTGCCCAGGGTCAAGTACTGGTGTCGCCTACAAGCCTTGTGGTCGCCCGACGCCTGACCGTGGGTGCGAAAAGCAGGGTTTGCTGCCCTACCGATCATTACCAGATTCGTAGTCGGCCATCGTCTCGATTCCCGTATTCCACCGGAGGTCCGCACGCGCGCGCAAACTCGACGACTTGAACGAACTGAACAGGCCGGCACGCCCGCGGGTGCATGAGCGCTTGTTAGGTTGTCATGTCGCCCGTCGCCGAGTTCACATGCCGCGCGAAAGCCACTAAATGGGGTGTGATTGTAAACCGTTCCGATATTTCAACGAACCCTCCCGACGGTAAACACTGCCGTTCAGTTCACTTAGGGACTACCCGGATCGTGTATTATGTAAACGCTGCCGAGTCGGTCGTGCATGTGCGCACGACAACATTTGTCGAGTCACAACAGTCGATATGGCAACGGAACAAACGAGACCGTTTTAGTCGGATCGAATGTACGTTCCATTGCATCGTCACGAATGAACACTACGAACTGTACAAACGTTGGAAAACTCGACTTGGACTTGGTTGTTTTTCGTTGGTCTGTATGAAATGTTTTATTCCGATATCTTGTTAGTATCGTGTCTCGACCGTTGTACCGTGACAACGATTGCGTAACGTACACACGAAACGGTTACCGACTCGGAAGAGTTAACATTACACGCACAAGACCTTTAGATAGTTCTGAAGTGCACCCGGAAGGGTTTGCTTACAGGAACCTATAATGGTTCGTCGTAGCAATCGACCGTAGTTATCCACCGTCCTAATAGGCAGTCGGTAGACGTACATGTAACTGTCCTTATCAACCGTGTACGCGCAGTCGACGTCGTCGTACCTGCTGCTGCTGGTGTTATACACGTCCGGTATCGATGTGATGAATCGTGCAAGCGACCTATTTAAATGACACGTATTGTACGTCTGCAATGGTGTGCCTAGGATTATCCGAATCAGTGGAAAAGGCTGATTATACAAATATCAATGCACGGTACACGTTTTCATTGTATGCGTATGTAGAGATACGTCCTTCTTACCTATGTAATACAAGTTTTTCGAAATATTATAAAATCAACTCCTATGGTTTTTTTTTTTTTATTTTTGAATATATTCAATCTGTTTGCAAAATAAAAACAGTAAGTGATAAGGATAACATAGAATTTTATACAAACACGAGTCACTTGAAGAGAAGACCGTTCATTAACAGAACCTCGGAAATTTTTTTTTTCCTCCTATTTTAGGAGATCTCTAGACCAGTTTCTTTTTAATCGACGAGGAATTTGTGGTAATGTAAGAGAGGACATGTTATGAATAAAGGGTTTTTTTATGCGGTTTGTTAATTTTGAATGAAAACTTTTGTAGTGGATTTTTGCAAGCTCATTTACTGTTTGTATTTTTAGGTCATTTTGAAGGGTTATATTTTTATGTACCATGGAGCACCCGTGATAAGTCTTAGGGTAATTAACTGAAAGGCTTGAATAGGGCGAATGTTTGGCTGGGCCCCAAATTTAGACCATACTGGCCTGATGACTACTTTGTATAAGAGTAATTTGTTTTTGAGACTCAAGTTTGATTTTAGTATCGGTCTAAATAGATAGAGGCGAGAGTTAAGTTGTTTTCGTTTTTATTCAGTATGGATTGACCAGGCTAATCTTTTATCCAGAGTGATACCTAGGCATTTGGTTGACTGGTGAATTGGAATTTGTTTGTTATTGATTTTTATTGGGGGGGGGGGGATTTTAGTTGTAGGTATAACAACGGTGAATATATTATAAAGTATAGGTAAGTGATTACTACCCTGAACACCTCCAGCTTTAATGTTCTAAATAGTCGAATAACTATTTTTCTGACGAATGGAAAATTACCGATTTTCAAGATATGACTTGATGATTAAATCATATGGCGAAAGGACAAAGTATTTTAGTTTAAATAGAAGTCCACCATGCTAACACGATCAAATTCAAGAGATATATCTAAAAATACCTCGTGAGAGAATTGTTTTGTTTCGAAAGAATGCTGAGATTTTTTCGGTGATTATATGGATTTGGTGTATTGTGTTGTGTATGCGATGGAAACTGAACTGTGATTTTAGTAATGTGTTATGTTGATCGATTATTGGTATAATTCTTTGTAGAATTAGTTTTTTGAAGAGCTATGCAAAAGTGGGTACTAAACTGATAGGATAATAAGAACTGGCGAGGTGCTTAGGGTTATTTGGTTTAGAGATTATTATGATAATTGAATACTTCCATGCAGAATGAAAGTAAGACAAACGAAGCATATCATTAAGAAATGGGATTGCATTTTTTGATAAGTTTTTAGTTACTTTATTTGTAACTTGGTCATGACCAGGTGATTTTTTAGGCTGAAACTTATGAATTACTGAAACAATTTTACTGGGGAAGTCGGTTTTACGGGAAGAGACATAGGCAAAGGGGAGGAAAAAAATGAATTTATTAGATTGGTGTGTCTAGCGTTGAATTTAGGTTAGGACGAGTAGAGAATATAGAGAACAGGTGATTATCAAAAAGATTTGCTTTCTCTAAGTCAGAAATAGTTAATGATTTGTCAGGTCGTTCGAGTGGAGATGTATTATCACGATGATTGATCAGAATTTAGCTTGTTTTCCAGAAGGAACCATTGTTGAAAATCAAAGTAGTTAAATATTTACTAAACTGTTCGGATCTGTACTTTGCTAATTTAATTTTTAAGTCAGTTATGAGATGGTTGAAAATAGTTTTGTGTTTAGGATATTTTGTTCTTTGCCATAATGATCTATCCTAACGTTTAGCTTTTATAAAATTAACTAAGAATGAAGGAAGTGAAGTATATAGTAGTTTGGTAGGTTATTATTTGAGATGTGGGAAGAGGAACTTGATACTGAATTTTGAATTGACTTGGTTAGTAAAGTCCAAGGTTAAAGAAACTATATTGATTACTCCGTTGGACGTGACAGTTTTAGTTTTGTGTACGGTGAGTACGGTAAACCCATTTAGACGTTTCTAAACAACAATTGTTGGCACTATAATTAAAATTAAAATGTTTATTAAAATTTACTTTTTCCGCTGTGTTAATTAAAATAAGTTCTTACTCGTTTAAGAATAGAAAAACTTTTCCCTATAAGTGTCTGTTAAAACAATTAGAGTAATAACATTTTCGTTTAAACTCAAGCAAAAGTTAATTTGCGATTTTTGCTATTGAATAGGTGTTATAACTCAAAAGGAAAATAAAAGAACAGAGGATTTGATGAGGTGGTTAATTTACCTTTCTCTTTGTTTAAGAGAAGTCTTTGGGTTTGTAAATGTTTTTGAGCAGACCAGTTCAATTGAGGGGTTTTGGAAGCTTAATAAAATAGCACTTACTCGAATCGTCATCAGTCTTCGGAAGCTTAACACTAGTGATACTTATACACTGCTCTTATAATACTCGTGATACTCTTATAAGAGTAGCTTGAGGTTGAAATAATATGAAACGGACCCAGGATTTCACTCAATGATACTGGACAATCATAGGCACTTGCACATAAATTGTATTAAAATATCGTGAAGTGCATATAATGATAAAGGAGCTTCTCTAATTATAAATAGTAAGAAGGTTGACAGCAAAAGATTGGTCGACAGTCGGTGCGTGCGCATGCAACTTGCAGTAGCGAAGCACGAGTATTTAAGTTGGGGAGACATTAAAATAATATATTACAACCCCTTCTCCCATTTATATCTTTATACATATTTATGATAAAAGGGACACGGTTTTTTATTTCTTATTTCATATTTTTTTTCGTATGAGTATTTTACTATTCCATCATTCAACATTTCATTAATTCAATCATCAGGCATAGTGACGAATGACAATAGTACAATATTTTAACATTTAGATACGAATATCACGCCAGAAATAAATAAATCGTAAAATAAAAACCAATCAATAACTACGATAACAAAATTGCGTTGAACGATAACGCATCAACTCGAAAAACAATGACGATTACAATAATGTACATTAAAATGAAATAATAAATATGAACGCGAGACATGTCTCATAGCGCAATGATAATCCCCACTCAATAACCTATTCCCCCTGCATACCGTGCCTTGAAAAACGAGACGCTACAACGTGTCGTATAGAATTAACCACTACGCCACAACGAACGACAGCTTGCGTGCACGGTCCGCAATTAATCTATTCTAAGAATATTAATACTGTACGGCACAAAAGTAAAACTATGATAAATATTGAAGTATATATTATATAAAAATAAATAAAATATAATAAAACCAAATTATGTATCCGTATTAAAAGTGGGTAGACATTGTATTATTGTCTCCTATGACGCTTCGCCACTGGCAACTTGTAATGAGTAGCAAATTAAGCGGGATACAAGGGGGATACGGGGGCAAAAGCCTCCCTTTAGACAGTAGGTAGAATCGTATCGAACGTATGTACTTTAAATATTTAAAAAATTAGACGTAAGAAATACTTCGTACAATTCGACGTGCACAACAAAGTATGCCAGTAACTCACTTTATTTGCACCCTCTTTTTTCGTTTCTAGATTCACGCCTGTAGCAAACAGTTTTTTGGCTAAAGGCGATTTCCTTTGAGAGTTGAACTATTTAATATAATAGTCGTTGGTTAACAGTTAATAATATGTTTTGCCCTTATTATTTGATTGTTTTTTCTTCGTACACGCCAAAATAGCCATAATTTATTAATTTCTAAAATGTGAACTTAACGAATAATGTAGATAATTACATGACAAGAGTTGTATATGGAAAATTTATTTTATTTGAAGAACTTTTAAACTTTTTACTCTAAATTTAATAAATATTTTACACACATTATTCACGTATATAAACCTTTTACTCCTCTTCTCCCATAAATATTCCACTGTTGTACCGTATATCTTCGCTGCTGTTTGTGTGTGTGTACGTGTGTGTGATGATCGGTAGCCGTGCTTGGGTGACCTTTTGCGGAGAGCTTAGGGCATGGCATGTGACAAGGCAAAAATTAAAATAATAATACGACCTCCAAATCCTTGTATGTAGGTTTTCGGGATATTTTTTATTTTTTTTTTTTAAACATTTTATCGTGTGTAGTACATCAGAGTAGTCGAATATCCGGGCGTCGGTTGCCTGCCGCCTGTAATACGTATTATTATAATGCTCGGCCATTTCGAATGATGAACTCGGATGAAAAATGACTCGAAA